AATCTGACATGGAGAAACGCTTTTTCAGATATGATTTCAGCTCACTGGCTAGTGCTGGTGTAGGCGCAATGATCAGTAAGTCGTCGACGTACACTGCAATGTAACAGGTGATGTCGGCAACTGTGCGTCGAAATACGCATCGATCTTTAATGAGTTTCAGGAATCCGAGATTCTCTAGGAAGGCAGACAAGGGGCGCTTGCTTAAGCCCGTATAAGCTCTTAAGAAGTTTACACACTAGGTGCTCCTTGCCCGGGATTTTATAGCCTTCTGGTTGAGCCATGTAGATCTCTTCTTCCAAGTAACCATTCAGGAATGCTGTCTTAACATCCATTTGGTGAACGTCAAAGTCAAGAAGAGCTGCAATGGCGAGCAGTAGTCTGAGTACCTCCATCCTGATTACAGGAGAGAAAATCTCGTTGTAGTCGATGCCATATTCCTGAAGGAATCCTTTGATCACAAGACACGCTTTGAAGCGGTCAATTTCGCCAGTGCCGATATACTTCACTACAAAGACCCATCGGCTACTTAAAATCTTCCTCCTTTAGGAGGGGATACCGACGCCCAAGTGTTATTGTCCATGATTAATTGTATTCCGATTTAGCTGCTGTATGCCACTGGTTAGCGTGGGAGGACTTCATTGCTTCCCGATACGTAGTGGGCTCTGACACATACCGAATAGCTAGTAAGGCGTACAGTATATGCTGACGTTGCTCCTGTTCATGAATATCTTCCTCAGAGTTGAGGGTTACGTCATTGACTTCCGCAGATCTATCAATGGCTTCCGCAGAATGGCGGGGTCGCTTAGGAGTTGAATGATGCGGAGGGTCAATCCATCCCCGTTCCAAAAGAATAATGTATGGCTGTTCGGTCAATATCCTCCCTCGGTGAGGGCAGTACACGTTCGTTCACTGTACCTGCTGCTGTTGTCATTGCAGGGCCTGGTATGTGAGACGGTGTCGCCACTGGTTCTGACGCATGTTCAGCGGTAGCAGTTGCAGGTGGCAAAGACACAGGTGCAGGTGGAGCGACAGGTTGCTGCCGATTCGTGTCCTGTGTGGGCTCTGGAGTAGTCGTCAGGCCAGTGAGAGAGGGAAATTCGTCCACTTTAAAGACTACATCACGACTATAGATAATTGCGTGAGTATTGATGTCCATCAGACGGTATCCTTTCTTGTGGTCCGGCACACCAAGATACATACACAAACGGACTCTAGCGTCGAGTTTGTCTCGGTATTGCTCCGAGATGTGGACATATCTACTACATCCGAATACTTTGATGTACTGCATGGATGGAATACGGTTGTGCCAAAGCTCATACGGGGTTCGACCATCCGTCTTGGAGCTAGGAGTCATATTGATGAGAGTGGTCACGTGACAGACGCACTCGTCCCATAACTGCTTTGGTAGCTTGCCGTCAAGTAGAAGGGCTCGTACACGCTCCATGATTGTGCGCATGCGACGTTCTGCAACTCCATTTTGTTGAGGAGTGTATGCGTTGGTGAACTGAGCGTGAGTTCCATACTTTTTAAATATGATGCGACCAAGCTTCTCTTACTCTTTAGCGTTGTCTCCTTGAAGCCGCTGAATCTCAAAATTACCCTCGTGTGCGTTGTCTTCAACAGAACGTGTACTCAATGACAGATATACCTTGTCTGATAATATTCAAGGCTTTCTTCCTGAAGTCTTCGTAGCAGTCATACAACTCGCTACGGTTTTTAATTGCATAAGTGAACATAAATCGAGAAAAGTCATCGATGAAGACCAAGAAGTAACGACAACCAGTAAGGCTGGGCACAGGTAGTGGACCACAGATATCTGAATGAACTTTTGACAAGGGTGATGTAGCACGTTAAACAACTCTATTAGAGTAAAATGGGGAGCGGTGTGACTTCGCTAACGTGCAGGCAACACAGAAGAAATCTGTCTTTAGACCTAGAGGTATAGATCCATCGAGTCCAAGTATGGCTTGGCTCCTAGATAGGTCATTCAAGACACGAACGTTAGGGTGTCCAAGGCGTTTATGCAGTAGCAGAATGGAACGTTGCTTACCTGAGGCAGTAAGAGCCGTTGGAGGCGCCGCTGGTTTGGCATGGAACTGATACAGATCCGTGTTGGTAGCCATGAGCGCTTTGATCTTGAAGGGCTGGTCAGTTTGCATATAACACTGTTTGCGGTCAAAGTTGAAGTGAAAGTCGTGCTTCACAGCTGCTGGAATTGATAGCAGACTGAATTGGAGGTGGGGAGTGTACAAGACGCCATGGAGGATAAGCTTCTGCATAGTGCCCTTGGAGTCAGTGACTTCCAGCTCAACCCGTCCAATTCCTTCGATGGGGAGTTGGTTTTTATAATAATTGTAATCGAGCCACCGCTGGAGGTGATGTCGGTGAACCACTGAGATTCATGGGTGACGTGACGAGTGCAGCCAGAGTCGATCGTCCAGGTGGGGTCGGGTTCTACCTTGACTTGAGCGGTGAGGCTAAACGGGAGATTGACTGTGGTAGCAACAGCAATGAGACCGGTATCACGACGTCCTTGGTGAGTTATCTTGCGGTTGTTTTCAGAATCACTGTCGTCATCATCTTCCTCGTCGTTGTCTGACTCAAGAGGTCGGCCCTTATAGCGATCTTGGCCGCGATGTTTGCCGCCATTTCCATGCTTGTTCTTGCTACTACCGTTGTCACCCTTAAAATTGCGGTTGTTGTTATTCTTGCCGTGTCGTCCATTGCCACCTTTGTTTAAGTTCTGGTATGGGTGATCGCGTTTCGAGTTACCCTTGAAGGCGAAGTTGGCAGGAAACACTGTCCCAGCTTTCACTCGTCCATCGTGCAAATCTTTCTGCAGGCCTTGGCATTGACGAATGTTGTGGCGTGGGCGATCATAGTACGAGCAGATATTGGCATTGTCACGGCCTTGAGCGTGTGACGCAGGAGGTCCGGTAGCCACTAGAGCTCTCTCACCCATGGTAGCAGAGGCCTCTGGTGTACCCTTGGCCAAGGTGTAGCGCTATTGAGCTTGAAGATCGCGAACCTTACCTTCAATGCTCTGCTTAAGGTCTTCATACGGGATATACTTCCGCTGGCCCTTCCAGATGCGGAGATCATCCTTCCACGACTTGGGCATCCAGTGGAACACTTCTGTCCCTCGGTCATCACCGATTCGGTGGCTTCTGACGCGGCTTTCATCGCGTTTTCAAGCTTGAGAAAGAACTCGGTCAAGTCGAAGCCTTCCTCATACTTGATCTCCATCAAGTAGTGTTGAATGAAGTACGGATCACCATGAAAAGCCGCTCCCTTGTACTTCTGGCAGATGTAGTTGAATATCTCGTAGAATGTCGTGAGATTCTTAACCAGCCGCACGTGTATGTTGTCCATCGTTTTCATCAAAATGGTCTTGGTCTTGGCTTCTTGGTGACGGCGTTTGCACTGGCTGAGAGGTTGAGGCTTCTCTTTCTTGGCGTGTTTGCGGGCACGACGAGCTTCGCGCTGGTTAAACGATCGAACTACCGGGAGGTCCTTCCGCTTGATTGACGTATCGGAGCTGGCTCCAAAGTCTTCGTCCGAGTCTGAGGACGGCTTGAGCTCGTCGTCGCTCTCGTCGTAGTCCACAGCGTCGGAGTCAATTTCGACGTTCTTGGTAGCCTTGGTATGCGATTCATTGCTGTCTTCAGACATATCGCTGCCGCTGTCTTCACTCTCATCTTCAGACATACCGCCGTAGTCAGACTACTTCACGTAGCCGAGGAGGTGCTTGCCATCTAGTGCTGTGCACACACGGGTATTCCAGACGTCGAAGTTTTCGGCGCCTATGAGGCCTGGGAAGTCGTCGCTTGAGGCTTGGCTTGGGCTCATAACCTATGGCTCGGTAGGCAGGTAGATAGCAAGGAGAGAAGAAGAAGTTTTAGTTGGAGACGTCAAAAGACGAAGTGAACACTTTATTAGTCTTAGGAAGCCCCTAGTAGCTGCACACCAGCCATTAGTGTTAGTATAGTTTAAGCCAGTCATAACGCCTTAAACAGGACCTCCTAAATCTCATTATAATATCTTAGAGATTAGTTCAAGGTAATCATACTAACAGCTTTAACGCCATCTCACTCTTAAAACTGACGGTAACTCAACAATTGCATTCTACATATAACAAATCTACATATAACAGATGCTAAGTATGAAATAATTCCGTCACAACCTTGCCGACTCACATCGAAAAGAGCTCGCCAACCGACGCACACAAGCGTCGAGAATAAGTAAGCCGGGCGGGCTCGAGAATCGGCAGAGAACAAATAAATCCACGCACTTCAACCATTATGGCACATCATCTACATGTCTTCTTTATCCTGTGTATACTCGCTATTATCTCTACTCATGGCGCCGTACTGCGCCGCACGTGGACGACACAGCCGTGGTGCGAGAGTGTGCGAAAACCTCAGTGGCCTTTCGCATACCAGAAGACACCGACGCAAACTCTGGAGTGGCAGGGCAGAGTGAACCCCAATGACCAGGATATCCGCCACCAATGCTTCGTCTTCGGTGTCCAGAGCAAGTGTCACCTCTGTGAGAACTTCGCCTGCAACGGTGCCAGTGGCGATCGCTGCGTCTTCCAGTTGCAGGGCGTTACGTGGTCTGCTCTACCCAAGAACATCCCGACAGTGACGGATGTCCCGTGGGCGGTAGGAGGACAGCATCGCTACGACTACGGAGGAGCAACGCATCTCTGTGTTTTCTTATCAGGCGGCAAATGCTTGTCACCGTTCACGACGGATTTTTCACAGTGTGATGTGAGATGTTGGGGCACAAAGTCCGGGAAATTGACGTACAAAGGAGCACATCCGAACAGGAACTCGAGCGACGCAGAAGCGTCAGATATTTGGAGTTATTCATCTTCATTTGGGACATCAGGACGTTCACAAGGACAAGTGACCACAGTAGCAGGTGAAGGCACAGCCGGATTTCTCGACGGATCCGTAGCGACGGCACGGTTCAATCATCCGCGAGGTGTGGCGGTGGGCTCGAACGGCGTCGTGTACGTGGCTGATACAGCCAACCACCGGATCAGAAAGATTGATCCAAGCACCAAAATGGTGTCAACACTTGCAGGTGATGGCATTGAAGGGTTCTCGGATGGAGCTGCGCTTTCAGCCGCGCGGTTTTCCTATCCTTCGGATGTCGCTGTGCTCGAGACGAATTCGGGAACGATTACTGTCTTCGTAGCAGATACGGGCAACCATCGCATTCGACAGATCAAGAATGGTATTGTGTCTTGTCTTTCTGGCCTGTGCGGTGCCGGAGTGGAGACCGTGAGACTCTCGCAGCAACCAGCGAAACCTCATGCCGGTCTGGCTGATGGAAACCCTTTCGGTGCCCGATTCGATTCCCCCATGGGCATCGCGGTTGATGCAGATGGTATTGCATTCGTCGCGGACACAGGCAACCACTTGATACGACGGATAGAACCGGACGGAACCACACTCACAATAGCTGGTGGCGTGGTTCCTTCGGAGGACGCAGACACACCTGGCTGTTTGTCGCCGTGTCTACGCGGTGAGCGTGGATTTCGAGACGGAAACCTGACGTTCGCTCGGTTTGAGAGTCCACGCGCTATAGCTATCGGTGCTCAACGCACGCTCGTTGTTGGTGAAGGCCATCGTGTCCGTCGCGTTACATATGACGGCGGTGCAGCGTCTACTATTGAGACTGTCACGTCGACGAACCGTGTTGTTACTTTAGCTGGATCGAACGTACCAGGGCATACTGACGGTGAAGGCAACGAAGCCACGTTTAACGCTCCAGCTGGAGTCGCGTTTGCTGCCGATGGACGCGTGTATGCTGCCAGCTCTACGGACTGCTCGGTGCGTCAGATAACTCCTGCCTCTCTCGTCTCACGAACGGTAACCTGTTCGACGCGAGCGACTGAAGTGTTGCGTCCTAGTGGCTGTGCATCATACGAACAGCCTGTAGACGAACTGTTTCTTCAGACTTCACCATCAGCCAACAATATTTATCACAATTATCTCCAGCGCAAAGAATTTGATCCGGTTCAGGGTACAGCAATTTCTGGACGAACGTTGAAAGACTGTACGGGTTCACCACCTGCTGATGGGCTTGTTCAAGGAGATCTCGCACTACCATTACGCGATCCTGACACGCAAGCGATCATCACTGACGTGTTTGAAGACGTGGAATACGGCACAACTATCAAAATCCGTTGCCCAGCGGCTTGTGACGTTAGCGCAACACTGAAAGTCTATGGTTCGGGTCTCTACAGTGACGTTTCTTCCATCTGTCTCGCTGCAATTCACAGCGGCGCCATCGTAGCTGCACAAGGAGGTCTAGTGACGTTAGCATTGGAGAGAGGAGCCCAGTCAACAGCTCAGGTATCCAAAACACTGGGATCTACAGCGAATGGAGTGACTTCGCTAGACTTACCGACGACACAGAACAACCGTGCTCGTCTTTTTAGTATCAAGTCGTATCTGCGACCAAAACTCGAGGTACAATCGATCGCAGGAGCTCCGAATGCGCCACTAGGATCCCAACAAGACGGCTGTGGCTATCTTGACGCACAGCCGCCTCTAGCCGCGCGTTTTCTGGGGATCGCGGGGCTTGACATCGCTCGATCTCGCTCACTTTCACGTACGGATTTTCTGTACATCGCCGACGCTGGTAACAATCGCATCCGTGCACTTACTGCGACTTGTGCCAAGGTCTGTGAGAACGATGGAGTTTGTACTGCTCCAGATGTGTGTACGTGCTCTTCAGGTTGGACAGGAGATGACTGTACGACACCAGTATGCAGTACAAGCTGTGGATCAAGGCAAATATGTGTGGGTCCTGATCAATGTGACTGCATCCCTGGATATGGAGCCTTGCCAGCGTGTACGACACCCAAATGTGTCCAAACTTGTGCACACGGAGGCGTTTGTTCAGCGCCAGACACTTGTTCGTGTGCTTCTGGATGGTTTGACGCTAATTGCACAACTCCAGTGTGTACTCAAACCTGTGGCAACGGTGGTAATTGCACCGCTCCCGACACTTGTACATGCTCCGACGCCTGGAAAGGTACAGATTGTCGGGTACCAGTTTGTACTCAAACTTGCAAGAATGGGGGGAGCTGTGTAGCACCCGATTCATGTTTGTGTGCAGCGGGTTGGAGTGGATACGACTGCAGTCTTCCAATCTGTCCTCAGGGAGATTTTGTACCACATCCAAGTGGCTACGCTAACGCACTACCACGTCCTCTATCAGTTGAGAACTACGTGCCTTGTGATTTTGCCCGATGGTGTCTTGAAACTGGAGAATTCGACTGTTTACATCGATTATACTCGACTTCTAGTCCTGTGGTTAACGCATCAAGTGGCTTAGCGGCGAAAGGGAAGACTCCACCATCGTATGGAGGCTGTCTGCTTCTCGAATTAGGGGATGAAGCACTTACACAGTTCCAATATCTGTCCGAGCTCAACGCAACCAGCGATTTCTACCGGTTTGCTCCAGTTCAACCGTACGAATGGAATACTTCTGCACCTTGGAGAGGCATCTCAAAGCCAGAAGTGGGGGTTTCTCCGCCGTTTCTGCTAACTAGCGATCGACAAGTAGCTCTAGTGGAGCGTAGACGAATTGTTCAAGGTGTCTACGCCTGTGCTCACGGAGGTAGTTGTGTAGCTCCAGATGTATGTGAATGCGCCTCAGGTTGGGCAGGTTTCGACTGCCGAACTCCTGTATGTTCACAAGGTTACTATTCTCCAAACCAAGTGACTTATTTGGCAGCAGAACCGACTACTGCCACCCACCCACGACAACCAGTTACCAACCCAACATACACAGCAACGGTTGAGCAGATCGGATACACTCAAGTTACAGTCACCACCGAGACTCGAGGTGGGGTACGATACAAACCAACACAAGGAGGCTATGCGTGCTCAATTCGGAGTATTACAGAGTGGGAGAAACCATTGACACCCGATGGATCTCCGGCGTATTACTTCAATCATCCTAATTACTATTCGCGCTATATGGATCGCGAATTATCTGCTGACGGTCACTACCACACCCACTGGACTGGTATGATGTGGCCTCCACTTTATAATCTATCCAAGCCGTCATTAGATGATACACGAGAAGGTTGGAAACGTGGAGGCACGTGGAGCTACATTTCCGATAGGAAATGGCAAAAAGGGGGTTGTCTTCTCGAGTTTAGCCGTACTTGTTCCTCTGGAGTCCAAGCTACGGACCTATTAACGGGCAAACTAGGTGTGTTGGTAGTTGACACGGACGCTTCGTATCGACCTCAAGTCACATACACGGTGCAAGGTGCTGTTCGCCGTGGGTTCTGGAACTCTTCAGTGTTTGGAGATTGTGTAGATCAAGTTGTGCGTGGATGTTTCAACAATGGTACGTGTGTGGCACCTGGTGTGTGTGACTGTGCTTCTGGCTGGTCTGGTACAGATTGTTCAGTACCTCTGTGCACTCAGACGTGTATGAATGGGGGCAATTGCACACTGCCAAACACTTGTACGTGTGCATTAGGCTGGACAGGAACGGATTGTTCGATTGCTATGTGTGCTCAAGAATGTCGGAATAACGGGACGTGTATTGGACCTGATCAGTGCAAGTGCGTCACTTGGGACTCAAATTGGCGTGACGGTCGTGAAAATGGTGGCAAACCAGTCTTCCAACTGCCTGATGGGAGAGCGCAGCGTACAGGTTATACCGGTTATGATTGCAACACTCCAATTTGTGTTCAGGCCAAGCGGTTCGTAATGAACGTGGCATCTCGCTCTTCCAGTAACTTCCGTGCATTACGAGGAAACTACGACAGCGCCACTGCAGTTCGCAATTGTGATACATACCGATGTCCTCAGTACGACGTGGAGCTCGTGGCCAATGATGGACGTTCTTTCCAGACTGGATGCTCGGTTGGAGACCCCGAGCCGAATCCTAAGCGCAGTGCAACACTCACAGGCGCTCAGCAGATTCAGAATCTGCTAGATTATCGTGATGATCTCAATGTTGCACGCGTATCCGATGAATTCCTATGTGGGAATATAGTTTGGCGACAAGGAGACATTGAAAGTGACAACGGGTCGAATCGAGTGATCCGTACCAACTACGTTAATGTGACTAAAGTGGATGATGTTACATGGGAGTACGGTATTTCAACTCCAGGCGAAGGTGTCTATGAATGTTACAACTCTGGTGCCTGTGTAGCTCCCGATGAATGTGCGTGTGGCGATGGCTGGACTGGCATTGACTGCAACACGCCATTGTGTCGCTTTCAAAGGGCTGATGAACGTGCTGGTGTGTCTTCCGGATGTCGTAATGGCGGTGTGTGCATTAGTAAAGACCAATGTCGATGTATCACAGTGAAGTCTTCACTGCATGACCACTATCCTACAGCACCAACAGGGATTACAGGATACTTTGGTTCGGATTGCGCACTACCAATCTGTATCCAAGGCATCTTTGATCCAATCTGCAATGCTAGTGTTGTGGCTAACGATCTCAATCTGACTAGCGGAAATATTACGAGTGTTGACGATATAGCCAGCAGTATTGTAAGTAGTGGAGATGGTTGTTATCGATGCAAGAATGGAGGACTCTGTGTCGCCCCCGACGTCTGTGCATGCGCTGAAGGCTGGACTGGATTCGACTGTTCTACTCCAATTTGCGAGTTGTCTAAAGCGGTTGTAGCCTCCGTTCGTTCAACACTCTTCACTGTGGACGAACTCAAAGTGGAAACTTTTCGTACAGATCCGTGTGGAACTAAAGGAGGTCGATGGGGTAAGGAAATTGTAAATGACGCCTTAGTTGGTCAAGGTAACTGCACTCTTCCCATGAAATGTACATGTTTGTGTCGGAAACGCTACGATAAGAAACTCTGCGATTCTATCGGAGAATTTTGTGAAAAACCGTGGCAAGATCCTTTTCATCGGTCGATCCCTCCAGGTTTCGTATACGGAACTCGAGATTGTGTCGATGGTTTCCAAGGAATTGAAGATGAAGATGGCAACTTTCAGAGTTGTCACTTGCAGATCTACGTTCCAACAACTTGGCGTCGCTACACTGTGAGCTTTGTGGCCATTTTATCAGTACTCGGCTTGATAATTCTCGTGGCTTGGTACTACATCCGCAAGAGGGTGCGACGAGCTCTGTTGCTTGCCAAGGCTGAACGTCGACGTTCACGTAAAAACTCGGAAGAAAACATGAATAAGCCCAAACTTGGAGCCTTCACACACCCTAAAAACGATTAATAGCAATAGCCAAGAACATCTTTCTATTGTCTTCTCATATATCCTTGCAAATTAGTGTTCATCCTCTACGAGACGAGCATCTCAATAGGAATCTGCGACGATTTCTGTTCCTCTTGACCATTAGCCACTACAGAAGCTTCGTTAGCCTTAGCGCTCGATCCGATAGCGTTCGAGGCTTCGGCTGCACGTAAATATTCGTCGCGTCGGCCCTGTGACTCATTTAAAAACGCAGTTAGAGCTTCGGGAGGACCAGCATTTCCTTCGTCTGTTGCTGTACCAGCAGGGAGAGGTTCGATACTAGGCAGTAACTCCTCCTCTTGCTTCACGCGAGACAAAACCAGCTCCTCGAAACAGTTGCCTGGTGGTGACAGACTGAACTCGCGTCGCTCTTCTGGCTCCACGTATCGTTCAGCTGAAGTTCCAAATTCCTCAAGAACAGCAGCGCAGATCGTCTCCACTTTCCGTTCCAAGATGGAAAGAGAAGGGAACTCGTTCATCACGCGCATAAACCAATCATTCATCTCCGTTGTCGACTCAAAGTGATGACGGTACAGCGGTCGGAACGTGGGTGTACCTTCGAGAAACACTGTACGAATATGGTGCTCCCGTGCCTGGCGATGGAACGGCAATTGACGGTCCAGCATTATACGTTCCCAGCCGCATACACCGTGACGAGCCATGCCGTAAAATACGCCCAAGTCGTGGATCCACGGACACCACCATACGGGCATATCCGCCACTAAACTCTCCTGTCCTGACTTGAGATAAGCCTCCAACGCCACCCGCTTGGTTGACAGAATCTCCAGCACATCTTCAAGCAATTGAGTTCTCCGCATGGTAACCCAGGCAGTGTTACGCGCTTTGAGGCCATGCGCCAGCACACCTTCGTAAGCGTCCACGAACTCAATGCCAATCAGATCGCCCAACGCCACTGCACGTTGATCAGAACCCAGCGGATCGGCCCGCATACGAGCCACTTCACGGCACTTGGGGGCAAATTTCGTCTCGTAAAACGTGCGGGCCATCATCGCCGTCTTGTTCAGATTGCCCCACTCGACGATATTGCGCCACGACACACTATCCGTCTCCCACGCGAACTCTCGCGCTTGCTCCGTCACAAACGGCAACATCGATGGTGTAGCTCTCCCATCAGGCGCAACTACAGCCCGCTTGGCCAAAATCCGTGGCGCACCGTGAATTGCCATCATGTACGCGAAGGAGCGACGTTCTTCCTTAGTCCAGTCGGTATTTTTCATTCGATGATGTGAAGCAGGAGCCACTGTGGCTTCGGGGAGTTGTCGAGCATTGTGCAACACCGCCATATGTCGAAGAATGTCCACCTGAGCGAGCTGCATGGCCTTCAGCTCCAATCGACGCAATGTCATGGTACGTGCACGCATTTCTTGAGCAATTTGACGTCGCTGTTCCATGGCCACACGCTCTTTCTTGAACTTCTCCTTCTCGTGACGTCGCTTGATTTCCTCTGCAGACAGCAGCCAGCCTAGCAAGCGATTCATATGCTGCACTTCTGGCTGCTTAAAGGAATTTGCAGCTGCAGTCACATCAGCTTCAGCCTTCCCATTACTCTTGGCGGAACTGTCATCGTTCGCGGAGCTTGAGGCACTTTCCGAGTCGCTCATACCCACATCGTCTTCTGCAGATACAGCACCCTCTCTCGCTGGTAAAGCAGCAGAAGTCGTCTGGTTCGAGCTGCCCCCGTTGCTTGCTTCTACTTGATCACGAGCTGCTTTCTCTAATCGCGCGAAATACAGACGAGGATCTGCCAGAATTTGGGCACATCGGCCGTATCCGTGAAGGAATACACCCATCAGCAAGTTCCTGTCGGCGTCCTCGTTCCACCACGGCGTGATTTGAGTCCACGCGGGCCTTTCACCCACGTCAACCAGTTCGATATGAGGCACCAGCTTATCAACGCCATAGTATCTGGCACGTTCGTCGATACTAGCAGTAGGATTGGGTCTTGGCTTGGAGGAGTCCTCGTCTTCCTTATACAACTCGTCACACACATTGCACGCCGTGGTCACCAGTTGCTGAAGTCTTTGCAACATGTCCAGTCGAACCACCACACGACGACCGCCACCCTGTTTGGACTTGAGCACAAAGTCCTCTTCCTTCAACACGGGCGACAATTCTTCTTCATCGATCAGATTCTCCTTCTGAGCGAACATGGCAGCGTGGATCGACGCCTTCACAAAGGTAGAGTCATCTTTCCTTTGATCACACGCCAGTGCCGACACATAAATAAACCCACGCGCAAAGCGTTCCACCTCCTTAACAGAGCGACTACCGCCACTCTGGCTACGAATGATCTCCCAACGACCAAATCCGTAGTGCATCAGTGCACGCTGCAGACGATCACGTCCATTTTGAGTCCATTCACGAGGAGCACTCTTCTCCTCAAGCCGTTCACGCTCTTCCTTGTCGCGCTTCTCTTGCTCGAACTCATCGTCTGAGATACTGCCGTCCGAAAAGCTACCGCCATCGCCAAAACGAGCCACTCGGGTACGCTTGCGTTGCTGCGGTAGTAAGTCTTCGGCTTCTACGGGGTCAGGCTCAGACAGTCCCACAGCTTTCTTCCAGAAATCAGGATCATCGAGATCGACATCGTCCGAGGTGGTGGCTGACACGAAACTAGCCTTGGAGAAGCTTGATTGGGCCTGCTCCGTGTACTGCACGATCTGTGACGAGCGCTGCAAGATCTGGTCGATGTCTAGCGCACAAAACTGTTCGCCAGCATTGTCGTCGTCTCGGAACACATCGTACGCTCCACGTTTAAGCAGCTCGTCAATCTCCTTCGACTCTTGAGCCTTGGAGCTCTTGTTCCGTTTCTTGCCGCCTTCTTCTTCGTTCTCACGACGCATGTGTGTGAGCACAGCCTTATCCAGTCCCAGCTTCAGTGAAGCCTTGTGGAACATGTGCATCTCGTAGGTTTTACGTGTGATCAGACGATAAATCTTCACCGAGTGAGTCTGACCAATACGATGCGCACGAGCTTGAGCTTGCAGATCGTTCTGAGGGTTCCAGTCACTGTCAAAGATAATAACTGTGTCTGCAGCGGTCAAGTTGAGTCCCAACCCACCAGCTTTGGTCGATAGTAGCATCACAAACCGCTTGTACTCTGGCTTGACAAAGCGATCCACAGCAGCTTGGCGGTCGTTTCCACGAATATTACCATCCAATCGCTCGTACAGGTATCCGCAGTAACGCAGATAGTCCTCGATAATGTCCAGCACACGCACCATCTGACTAAATATCAATACCTTGTGTCCTCCATCGTTCAGACGTGGCAATAACTTGTCGATCAGCACCATCTTGCCGCAACACTTGACCATCATCTCGTGACGCTGAGTATCAGTCGTCAGTCCTTCATTCAGGATCTCTTCAACGCCGTTATTCAAGTACGGATGGTTGCAACACTTGCGGAGTTCCATCATGACATTCATGAGGTTCGGGACGTTGCGTGGGTTGCCACCACGGTTCAAGAAGGCCGTGTTTCTCTCGTAAATCGCACGGTACCATTGCTTCTGTACCGGAGTGAGCTCCACTTCAACGATGGTCTCTTCCTTCGGGGGTAGAGACTTCTCGACGTCCTCCTTCACACGACGCAGCAGATACGGCTTCAGCATCTTGTGTAGATCAGCCACTTGTTGAGCCTCATGCAGGTCGCCAAACTTCTCGAGGAAATCCGAAACACTAGGGAATGATCTCGAGTCCAGAAAGTTCAGCAACGCCCATAACTCCTCCGTCTTGTTCTGCAGAGGAGTACCCGTGAGCAGCACACAGTGATCTCGACGCAGCGAGCGCATCTGCTCTACAAGTCGTGAAGACTGGTTCTTCAAACGATGCGCTTCGTCCACTACAAGACAGCGCCAATGGATCTTCGAGAGCACAGCAATGTCCTTAATTGCCACTTCGTACGTTGTCACCAGAATGTTAAAGCGGTAGGCCTTCTTCTTGTCAGGACGCAGCTTGTCATCCAGATAGTTGAACTCATAGTCACGAATAATCTCACGTGACGCGCTGTTGCCGTGATACACGACGCAGTTCATCGTGGTCCACATTTCACACTCGTTCTGCCACTGCACGATTAGCGATAATGGAGCCACAATCAAGAACGGGCCACGGATTTTAATCTTCGGATCATCCCGAAGAAGATTCAGGAACGACAATGTCTGGATAGTCTTACCCAGTCCCATCTCGTCTGCCAAGATACTCGGTCGTTCGTTGTACCAATTCCAGAGCAACCAGTTGAGACCTTCTAGTTGATAAGCACGAAGCGAGAGCGACTGATCCTCGCCGAATTTAGGCGATTCCTCCAGTTTGCGGTACTCACGAATACTTGGCCGCGGTCGTGGCTTCCACACTTCCTCGTCAGGCACAACAATCGACGCCTTATACTTGGCCAGAGCGGCGTCGTCCTTGATATCGCACGCTCGCTCCCACGTGGCCTCAGTGTACGGCAAGATCCGCCACTTGATGTAGTAGCGCATACCGTCGTCCACTGGAGCATCCGGGAAATTGGGGTCTGGAGGCATCGGAGCGTCCTGGCGGTGAGCGATAATACGGTGGATCTCCAAATACTCTGGGTTAAAGTACTCTAACTCATCAACCGCAAGGGAATCCTCGTCCAGATTGCCAGTTTGACGGTGTGGATACTGTAGCCGATGCTGCTCCTTCTCGTGGAAACGTTTGATCTTCTGCTTGTTCGTAAGAGGGTCCAGATCCAGCAGCACTTGCTTGGTCTCCCACGACGCGTGCATGTAGGCAAATCCCTTCCACTTGATGAGATACTCAGTGATCGACGTCTTGGCCGGCCGATTGGCGAACAAATTGGCGCTGACCGAGTCGGCCGGCGGTACGGGAGCCGGCTCCACGACCTCTCGCTGTCGTACGCCCATGATCTTGTCGATCACCATGGTGGCCACTGCGGCCTGGTCTTCGGCCGGCTTGGCCTCCTGCTTAAGCTTGCTCGTGTCCAGCTGGAACTCGGCTTCGTCGGATTCCGAGTCGTCGTCTCTCGGCCGCTTCTTGTGTTTCTTATGCTTCTTCTTGTAATTGTCACTGTCCGAGCTTGCGATGTCCTCGTCCGAGTTGGGAACGTGGTAAGACTTTCTCTTTCTATTGGCCGAGCGTTTACTGTGACGACGGTCGTCCTGTAGCTGCTCGGCCAGCAGCCGGGACTTCTCGTCGTCGTTTAGATCTTTGTCTCTGGGCTTCTTGGTCATGACGCGACGGGTGTGGCAGGCCTCACACTCGCGCGTCCGGCGGTCGCGATTCGGATGCTGGCAGGCCGCACAGATCCACGGCTTCTTAACCGGCTTGGCCGGCTGCAACTTGCGCTTACGCTCGCGCTTGGCCTGGCGGTTGGCCAGGCTCGTGTTGAAGGCCGTCAGCTTGGTGAAGTCGTCGTCAGGTTTCTCACACAGCGGGCAGACGTACGCGTCCAGCGCCTCGAGCTCCTCTTGCGTCAGTATGAGGCCGCAACAGCTCGGATGTACCCATCCGTTGCATCCTCCTGAGCCGCGGATGCACTCGATCATGATGCCAGCACCGTCGGTCTGCTGGCACACGCAGTAGGGCGTGGGGTCGGGCGTGGCCATGGCGGGCCGAAGGGGGAGGAAAGGGGGTGGAGAGTGAGTGTGGTCGCGCCCTTGTCTCTTCCCGTCTCTCGTGCGGAAAAGTTGTCGCTCAACGCTGGCAGCCCTCCAAACTGCCGGCCCCTCTTCTCTGAAGATGCATCATAATTCCATCCAGTGCTTCGGAATTGTACCCCTTTTGGGAAATGGTTACGAAATCTATTTCCAGAACGTAACCTTTCGTAATCCTGTGCTATAAAACGTAATGAGAAACAATTTAAATGACAAATATTTACCTATATTCGAAAATTGATTTTTAAACCTATTAAAATACAAAGTAAACATTATTGATAATCAAATAAGAGCATACAATAATTGTCATAAAATATATTTCAATACAATACATTTAATAAATTGGTTCATTTTAATTCGGATATAGAATTATTGCAAAGCGATAAAAAAAGCAAAAGAAAGTATTACCGTAGATGACAACAAAAACACACGCACACCCGCAGAGATGCTGTCATCTTTTATGGGTGTCCTCCCACTAAAATGCTA